AGTGCCGCCGATATACAGGATGAGGGCACAAACGACGTTCACGAGAAGGCCGAGAAATCCAACGATGATCATCAAGCTTGATTTGATCTCCTTGCAACTCCGGATGTCGTTGACGTCCACCTGGATGCCACTTTTTTTCATTTCCACGAACTGCGCTGGTACCCGAGAGCACATGACAATATCATAGATGCGGCTAAGCGCCTCACTGAGAATCCAGATCACCAGCGCCCAGATCGAGATGACGGAGATCAGCGTACCGATAACCTCCGCCCGGCTCCAGCCGTAGTTGTACTTCCCACAGGCAACCTGTCCAGCCGCGAAGAGGGCGCCAATGCTGAGCGCGTACGCGCCGACGTCGGTAAACAGGTGGACGGCATCCGTAATCAACGCAAGGGAATGCGCGATCACACCGAAGATGAACTCGGCGACCATAAAAACGAAGCAGAAGATGAGTGCCCCCAGGAGAACGCGCTTTTCCTTGTCACGTCGTTTCTGCACCTCGTCGATGGCGGAGGCAATGGCGAACTCCTCCTTCATGGTGATATCGACGGATTCAACGGTGTTATAGTCCTTCCTCTGGGTGCCATCTCTGCCCAGGAGACTTTTAGTTTCGGAAGACATGATTTAAAAGGGAAGAGGTACTCACAACGAATAGTTACTTTTCAGTTTTAATGTTTAATACTCAGTTGGTTACTAAATACAAAAGGAAAAACTAATATATGTATATATATATAAATATATATGTGCCAGTAAATGGAGACAGGTATATGAAAGCCTATTAAGTCCTATCAGTGTCATTTATGGCGTGAAAAGCGGAGTGAGACATGGAAAACTTGACAAACATCTGCACGGACAGTAGAATACGCTCCATTAAAATAAATACTCAGCCTCTATGGAAAAAACATGACGTCGTTATCGTTCAGCTATTCCCGAAGGGTTTATAGAGTACACTTTATTTTTTTAAGCCTTGCATTTCGTAAACAGAACGAAAGAAAGTACTAGAAGATGACGCTCATTAGCGAGTCATAAGCAACAATATAGAAGAGCTCCTTCCCTCTAACGTAGGGAATAGGGACGATCAAATACAACGCACCGTAAAAAACGAGATCCCACATGGAAGAAAAGACTGTGTCCAAAAAAATATTTGACCCAAAATATACTCCACACAAACACACTACCAATACTTCTTCCGTGATTTAGATTCTTGAAAAAATAGAGAAACATAAATCAGCGAAATTTGCGTAGCAGTAGACTGTTTCGCCGCTGCGGTTTGATAGGGACGTACTCGTCTGGCTCAGCCTCAAACAGGGGCTCTGCGAGGCTTCTCAAATCGATGCCTCCGCTCTGCGAGCTGCTATTCTTATCGACACCAGAAGTATTACACGTTAAATCGTCATGCCTACCGTCTACAGAACTAAGATTAAGCACATCCGAGCTGCTGATAACACGACTCCCATCTCTTGTCAAGTCGTCCCGAATGGCTTCTGCAAAGTAGAGATTAAGTATCTCAGAAGTCCTGATAACGCGGGTGGTGTCTCCATGAAAGTACTCAACCTCATTGCTGTAGCCAGAAATGGAACTATGCCTCCCGGAGCTGTTGGGAACACAGCTCTCATCGCTCTGGGAGTCCCGAGACTCGGATTCTTTCTCATCTATTGACAGAAACGGAGGAGCCGCTAGACAGACTGACGTGTAGATATCATAGGCGATGCGGCGTTCTTCCTTTACCGAGATCGGAAGGCTTAGGGTGGGTGGGAGGGCCGTAACTGGAGATTTTTCACTCAACCCCCCCCCTGCCACCTCACACGTGTCGGTGCTATCACTCATCGTCCGCAAATGAGAGCTCCACTCGAGCGCCCCTTCATGCGCCTCGGCCACTTCGTGGATGAGGTCGGCATCTCGAAGCCAAACGATATAGGTGGGCTCTGGAGAATCGCACAGACACCCCCACGGTACGTCGCTCGTCAAATCTTTCGATGGATCCACCGGTGGCTGTGGTTGGCGCCTCCGCAACCGAGCCTTGCGGCGCGCCTTGGCATAGTGCTCGTAGTCCACGTCCACATATCGAGTCCGCTTGTTTAGGCTGCGCAGGACTCCTAAGAAGTCTAATTGCCTTTTCCACACATCATCTCGAGAAGCCTCTTTCCTGCAATTGGGCGTTGACGGAGGGGGCACAAATGGAAGAAAAGTGAAGTTGACGGAGAGCGTCGGCTCGTTCATCTCATCCCCACCTGTGTTCATCTTGAAGCGAATAAAAGGGTAGCCAAATGGCTTCCACGTTGAGGATGATTCCCGATTGTTTTTAGCGAGCATGGTTGCCCCCTCCACCGATTTGATAGGATACCAGGGGTGCAATAAGGGTGTGAAGATTGCGGATATGTCGTCAAGCTTCAGATGAAATTTCAAGCCACCAAAGGAGTCATAAAACAGAAGATAGAACTCGGAGATGCAGAGAAACATGTCTGAGGAGCAAACCTTATCCCACCTGTTGGATTCGTTGTGATCTCGAAGCCACGATTCACTGCCATCCTCGTCACTGCCCTTTTCATGAGAGTGGATGCTGACGGTGTCGAACTTGTAACGATTGGAAGTGCGCCTCCCGAGGTCAAGAGATTCGAAGCTGTGGCGCGCTTCCTCAGAAGTTTGGGGATTGGAGTTGGTATAGTGCATATTGTCGGGGTAGGGCGGATCCTCCTTAGGGCTGTACTCTCGATGACAGCGGAAGGGGGGAACCGAATGGGCACTCTGCCACCTATCAGGTGCAGTGCGTAGATTTCCCTCGTTAGGCTGTTTTCCCGAATGAGCAGTCCACGTGCGAGTTCGCGTCGTGTTGACATCCCGTGCCTTTCGCACGTCATGGCACTTCTCTTTCGGCCTGCCTCGATGCAAAATAGCGCACTTGGAGGCCTTGTCGATGTTGTAATAAGGTTCAATGCGAAGGAGGCCGCGCTCGCAGCAATAAAAGGCGTTCTTTGCGAGTGGCAGAAAGCTTTGCCAAAGGTAGAGCGGAAAGTGCGAATAACTCAGGTTGCGCCTGTGATCCTTCCGGGGACGCAGGTAAGACTCCCATTGTCGACTCGGCTTCATCAAAACATTCCTTTCCTTGCTTAACTCCGAGTTTATACTGCCCTTATTTGTCGAAAAGCTCATCCCGCAGGCACTTTGGTATTCACCCACCTGCCGCACGAAGGCAACGGCGGCCTCCTTCACTCTCGGGTGCGCCCCCACACCCATATCCATCGGCGTCAGCGTCGCCGTCGAGGCGTACCATTGCAGGAATTTGAGCATGTCTTTCTGCCGGAGAAATCGCAGACGCACCCAAACACGCGTTTCCGCCATCGAGGAAGTCGTCCTTAGAGACGTGGTGCCGAGGCGGGAAGGGGCCACAACCACGGGTTGGTCAACCCCCGCCTCGGAGCCGTGGGGGGACGTCTCCTTGGTCTTTAACTTGGCCGTTTTGGGAAATCCGCGGAGCAGCAGATTCCAGAATCGGTGAAAAAACTTCTTGAAATCGCTCCAATGCCGCGGCGGGTGCTTGCGGGGGTCGCCGAAGGACGCGGCGTAGGCGTTAATCCAAAGATCGCCCGTCACGAAGCCACACACGTCGACCTCGAGCAGATCCCGCCACGTCCGGA